GGCTGTACTGCGTTTGGTGTTGCCACAATGAAGTGTTGCGACTTTGAGCAGTATCGTGTTCTCGCCACGGCGACGGTTAACGCGTGCCCTGCGGCTCGCTAAGACCGGACCCACGCTGGTGGCCGTACTCCTTTGGGATACGTGTACACCACAATAGGTTAAAGGAAAAGTGTAACGTAAGCAAATTTCTTCGAGTAGCCAGAGACAGCGATCAGGGCTGCACTAAAGCCAGCGTGATAATAGACCAAGTCCTAAACTACAAGGTGAAAAAAAAACAAAGTGGTGTGAAACTACTATACGACAGGGCGTGATTCTGAGAAGCCTCTCAACAAAGAGCTCCTCGCACTCCCGTGCAGAACCACGCTACAAAGATGCATGGGAACAACTGCCGGAGAAGTAGGCTTCAGTGAGCTAGTGAAGCAGAGGCTCAACGCTGAAATCAAGTGCCTCGGGACGGAGCAAGCCAAAATTTGCAGCCTCATCATAGGCGAAATGAGAATAAAGTAAACGCTTGAATACCACAAACAACGAGACGCCGTCTTGAGATATATAGACATGGGCGCTCTCAACCAAGAGTTGTCAGACTCGTAAAGAAGTGAACTTGCGAACATATCTCGCGTCGTGAGTGAAAAGACTGACAGCGAGCGCTGCGTGTCGTTAGTCTTGAAGGCAAAAGGGAACAACACCAGTGCTACGGAAGGATTGATTTCCCACCAGGACAGAGGTGGCTTGTGCTACCCCACTGCGGAGCTCGTGCGCGTGCTGCATGCAAAGGTAATAAGGCAGTTATAAAGTGGGAAAAACAGGTATCCAAGCCTGCAGAGGTAAAACGAGGGCTTAGGCAGGGGTGTCCTCTGTCACCCTTGTTATTCATGATGTACCTACAAGTATTAGAGGCCACATTAGAGGGAAGTGGACTGGGCTTCGACCTCTCTTTCGTCAAACAAGGAAAACTCATTGAACAGGCACTACCAGCATTGATGTACGCAGATGATATAGTGCTAATGGCCGACAACAAGGAAGATTTGCAGAGGTTGATGGACATCTGCGGTAATGAGGGAGATAGGTTTGTATTTCAGATTCAGTAAGAAAAATCAGCAGTCATGACATTTAATGATAATGAAGGTGGTAAGCTTAGAATACAGGAGGTCACGCTAGAGATAACACATAGATACAAATATCTGGGCGTATGGATAAGCAATGAGGCCGAGTACCTAAGGCAACACAAAATATACGTGACGACTAAAGGTAACAGGAATGCAGCGATGATGAGAAACAGGGCACTGTGTAATTAGGTATGACGTTGTGAGAGGAATATGGAAAGTGGCCATGCATGGTTCCTGGTCTGAAGTTCGTAAATGCGGTCTTGTGCATGAGATCAGAAGTTCAAGCAAAATTAAAAATTAAGCAATGTGGAATAGGTAGGCTTGCTTTAGGAGCTCACGGGAATACACCAAATCAGGGAGTACAAGGTGATATGGGATGGACATCATTTGAGGGCAAAGAAGCTAGCAGCAAGATAAAATTTGAGAAGCGATTGAGAGATATGGGGGAGGAGCGTTGGGCTAGGAAGGTATTCAGCTACTTGTACATCAAGAATGTCGATACAAAACGGAGGAAGCGAACCAGAAAATTGACTGGTAAATACTTTGAAAACAGCAGGGGGCCAAACCAAAAAGAATTACCGGTTAAGAAGGTGAAGAAAGCTGAGACCGATATGTGGAGAATAGGCATGATTAAGAAGTCCGCACTAGAGATCTATCGAACTTTTAAGTACGAAATTGCCAAGGAAAAGATCTATGATAATACTCAGGGTAGTTCTCTACTGTTTGAGGCCAGGACGGGAGTATTGCGAACAAAGACATATCGGGCCAAATACGAAGAGGTACACACGGTATGCAGTGCGTGTGGAGAGGAAGAGGAAACTGCCGATCACTTGATAATGTTCTGTAAAGGGCTTCCCCCTATAGTTCAGGATGAGGGCGCAGAGTTTTTCAAAGCACTGGGGTTTAGGGACAGGGAGGACAAAATAGACTTTAAACGGGTAGAATTAACTAGAATGAGGTTATCTGATTGGTGGCTAAAGCCAAGGTGCGAGTGAGGATCGGACCCTTCCCTGCGGGGTGCGAGTCCTCGGCCTTACTATTCTAAGGGGAAAAAATAGATCTACAGTTTTTCCCGCTCACTTCAATCCAAGTGGCAACTTAAATAATCTGCACGCCATTGAAATAATCTGAGGGCCAAGCTCTTTAATCCATGTGCCAAACATTTAATTCAAATGCCACTATATTTCATCCAAGCACCAACACAACCAGGCCGCATGCCAGTGAGTTCAATCCAAGTGCCATCGTGTTTAATCCAATTGCCAATGACTTTAATTCAGGTGCCAGTCAGTTTAATCCATGCACAAAAAGCCCAATACGGGGCGTAAAAACGGCAGTGCATTCAAAATGTAGCTCCTATAATATAAAAGACAACAGTCAGAAGGTAGAATAAATCATTATTAATAATATTCGCCCAAAGTACTCGTGAAAACAATAATTACTGCCGCGGCTCGCTTTGCCGTGTTGGGAGTGCTTATACTTTACTATGTACAAGTTTGTAGATGAGTGCTTGGCCCGGGTGGAGTCATTTTAATGGCAACGAAAGAAAAAAGCAAGACCACGTTAACCAATATTTTGTGTTCGTGAACAAAGCTCATAATTGGAATTGTATAGCATTACATGACCGGGCCAGGTCATGTAATGCGAAAGGCATAATATGGTTATTGGAGTGCCGGAATGCATACCAAGATATGGAAAACTTTACCGTGGGCAGTGATGAGTGAAAAGCAGGTACATGCTCAATAAATTAGAAGGTCCTCACAGGGCAGAGCGAATTATCAATAATTTGAAGATCTTTTCATCCTGCAGTGCACATAAAACATGAACTCATGATGTTGATGTGGAAAGCGGAAGTCATATATTACATTCATATTAGTTATCTTTTTATTCAAACAAAATTATGTGTATTCGATGAACGCATGTTTCAAGCAAACGCACTTCAGGAACACTAGCGTCATCTTTCACATGAGAACAGGAGTATATCCTTTGATGTTTTTTTTAAAAAAAACCTAATTCAACATGAACCCGAATCAATGCTGGTTGAGATTTAAATAGCAGTTTCTGATTTTAAGAACGAATGAATATGATCTGTCGTTCACCGTTGTTATCACCGGGCTGAGCAGACGACTGTGAATGCCTCAGTGAATAAGTAGCCAAATGCCGTCTGCTCAGCGAATCTATGCATATGCGACGGTGTACATGGTTAGCCGGAATAATGCAGTAGTGACGAAGCATAAACTAACATGGACTCTATGAGCAAATACATTCAGTACCCGTAAATGCAAATAATACACACTGTTCTTTTTTTTATTTTGAAGCTATGACATCAAAACGTTGGGGGAAAATAGCATTGCGCACTTCACGTCATAAAAGTTCTTCCTGTGACTTCATGTTTACATTATTCTGAAATTTGTACTCTATAAAGTGGCAAACTATGTGTTTTTAGTGTATGGATTAATTCAACTGACTGGCACTTGAATAAAAGTCATTGGCAATTGGATCAAACATAGTGGCACTACTATTAAACTCACTGGCACGAGGCCTCATTGAGTTGGCACTTGAATTAAATGTGTTGGTGCTTGGATCAAATGCACATAAATTAAAGAGCTTGGCACTCAGATTATTTCAATGGCGTGCAGATTATTTAAGTTGGCACTTGGATTAAAGTGAGCGGGAAAACCTGTAGTTTTTAGTTCACTAAGTACTACGGCTTGGTGGCGTCAGCCACCACCCGATCTAAAGGGTACAGCCATATTAATCCAATCCATCAATGCCCTGAAAAGATTTGTGGACGTGATGCTTCTGCACCGCACAGCTCTCCTTAAGCCTCTACAGACGTGCGTAGCGAAGAGTGCGGATGTATAGAGTTTCCTAATATACATTCATATTTCGATCGGGATCGATATTCAGCCAAGCACTCTTTCAAGTGTTTGGAAACAAAGAATAAGACACCTTACGACGCGTTTTTCGCAATACGTTACCAAAACAAAAGCATGATTGCGAAATTACCGAATACCAAGGAAAGTAATCGCATAAAATTGGAAAAAGCCAGTGGCTGCGCCGCATCCACCCATAGCTGTCAAGCAACAAGAGGCCACGTGAGAGGGTAATAACCTGACGCCACCACGTGGTCACTCAAAGAAATAGAGCGCCAATCGTAGAGCAATGGGAACGGGTGCGACGCAACAGGCACAAAAAATAGAGGAGGCGCTGCCTATCTCTACACTATGTAGGAAGGATTTTTTCTTCCTCCATGCTCTACACGGCCTTGCAATGGCGGCAGACTTATTCTAGTGAGCATAGAACCCGTGCAGTAACGTCAGCTTCAACAGCTGTAGAAGATTTGTGCTCATGCATGAGCGGCGCGTACACGGCCTTGCAATGGCGGCAGACTCATTCTAGGGACCATAGCACAGAACACCTACACCAACGCCTTCTCTAGAAGATGCCTGCCGCATGAGAAGAAAAACGGCTATCACACCCTTTCTCTCTTTTATTTTAGAATGTTCTCGGTTGCTAGCGTCCCCTGTGGCGGACGGTGCAACAACGCAACACTTTGCATAGCCTCTGAAACAGCGGTGTACAGTTGCAGGTCTCGCACAACTCTCGACTGACGCGCCCCTATGGGCCGCAGATGAAAAACGCCTAGCTGGTACCGCCCTAAGAAGTGTGGCAGCTTGGGCTAGTTGGTATGGCATGACGATAGTTATAGCGCGAGAACAAAACGACGACACAGAGACACACAGAGACGACACAGAGTTTTGTTCTCGCGCTATAACTATCGTCATGCCATACCAACTAGCCCAAGCTGCCACACTTCTAAGTGTCTTTCGTGTCCTTCTTGTCTCTGTGTCGTCGTTTTGTTCTCGCGCTATAACTATCGTCGTGGTACCGCCCATCGCCGTGATGATAGTCTCGGTCGCGAGCGCTACCGCGCGGCGCTTGCTCAAAACTGAAGGCAGGCCAACTCCGCTGGGAGCGCGAGCCATTCCCCAGGCATTGTTTAGGGGAGGCGTTGCCTACACCATAGTGCCCGTGCAGTAACGTTGCTGGCTGTTGAAGGTTTGTGTATAGTCTGTCGCCATAACAACATCCATGGTACGGAGCGCAACATGAGGGGAACGTGAAAGCCCGTAGATTTCGTACGTGGTCTGCGTCAACGAAAAACGAACGTGGAACGGCTGCAGGAAAGGTATGCATCATTTATTAATTTTCACATTAATGAAAGCACTTTTGACTTGATCGAACACGTTTGGTTGCCCTAATGCTATGCGCGAGTCGCATTTTTTTTACCGTGTCGTTGATGTAAACCATTTTTTATTGATTTTTTTTTTCTGTACGTGTTCACAGAATGCAGTTGCAGAAACGCTAAAGCTATGGACACCGCAGATACCGAGTTGGTGGAAGATGAACCTCAATACCCGCGGCAAACATACGTGGACATTGAGGCCGTCAACAGCACGCTAACTGAAGTCCATCAGCAGTACAACCATCTGCTACTCAAGTACTCCAATGCCCTAAATATAATTGATGAGCTTAAATGCCAGCTGGCTTGCGGGATCGGCCAAAGAATTGGCGGTGCCAGGGGCGAGACCTATACATTAGGACTTCGGAGGGATGTACACTTTCTCGATAATCATGTGCGGAAACGGGAGCCATTGCCACCAGCAGCGGGCAAACGAAACTCAGATTTGGTTACGCCACGGCAATCTCGAGATTACAGCGTGCCGAGGAGGGCAATCGTGAGCGATTCGGACTTTGGCCGAGTGCTGCCTGTTGATAAGAAACAGCTGATCGCTACTGGAGAGCGTACTTTTCAACCAAATAATAATGCGCGAGAATCGGCGGGAGAAATCGAAGCGGTGAGAAAACCGACAAGCAGTTGTATGGGTGCCATACTCGACCCTGCGAACAAGTTCGTTTCATACACTGCGAACGTGGAGGAAATACCTTCGGACGTTGGCCGAGTGCTGCCTGTAGATAAGAAACAGCTAATCGCTACTGGAGAGCGTACTTTTCAACCAAATAATAATGCGCGAGAATCGGCGGGAGAAATCGAAGCGGTGAGAAAACCGACAAGCAGTTGTATGGGTGCCATACTCGACCCTGCGAACAAGTTTGTTTCATACACTGCGAATGTGGAGGAAATACCCCAGCCATCATCACCCCCATGCGCCTATGACAGCAGTCGCAGGGGACATTCCAGCCACAAAAAGATTGCTGAACTGCAGCCCAAGTACCACCAGGTCGCTGTCGTATATCCGGCGCGGCGCAGCGCAGAGTTGTGTACCGTGGTGAGTGCATAATACAAAATTAGTGAATCCCACTTACCAAAGATGCCGTTTCTTTCCATGAAAATACCAGGGCTGCTGCATAGCACATTCCTGTTGCTGCTGTCAGCACACTGCAGAACCCCAAAAATCTATACACCACGTACAGGCTCCCCACTCCTCATGTTGCTACAGTGCTGGCCTCGATGCAAAGTTCACACATCTTTTAAGAAAAGGGTAATGCCCATTTAGCTTGTTTTGAGAATAGCATGTGCCTAACCTGTGGTTATGATTTGCTGCCAACAGTCTCTGCAGTGGTACCAGTACAGCACCCGATGTTGCACTATTTAAGGTACTATTTTTGCTACACTGCTCAAACATGCCCAATTCCTAATTTTCACTAATTTAATCATTCCAGGTTTCATCAGCTTTGGACACAGCCCTCAAGCTTGCTGCAGAGTTGAAGAAAAGCTCATCATCTCTCCTTCAACAACTGTAGGGCCAGCTGTAGTGATATTTCTATGCCAGGGGTCTCAAACTCTCCTCAGCTAGTGTTGTGCAGTCTGTAAACCCCGGGACAGTGAATAAGGTTGCAGACATGGGGAGAAGGTGCACAAAATGCTAGCTGACATTGCCCAAGGCCTTTCTTACCCATATATATGGGTCATTTCTAAAGTTACAATCTTTGTCTAGGGTGACTGAATTCTTAATGTTCATTCTGAAGTAAAATACTGTCTTTGTTCTAAAGTTATGCCTTAACACATGGGACTCTATGGGATGCCTCATGAACTAACTAAAAGTTTCAGGCCATGTCAAAAAGAGTGGGTGTGCAATCTAATTGGGATAAAGACAACTAGTGAGAACTCCACAGGAAGTCTGTGTTTGAGACCTCTGTTTTATGCTTTACTTACCTACATGTGTGAATTCCCATGAGAAAGAGGCCTGCTGCTTACAGTAAATTGCCTCAATATTTATTTACACTGTTTATTAATCTGGCTGCACTCAAGACCTAAGAAGAACACAAAATGTGCCAAACTTGACAATAGATTAAGTCGTGCTGCCATATTTTTTTCTGACAGAGAGTGATTCCTTTATTTGTTTTACATTGCTGAAATTGTAGAATAAAACAATTTTTTTAGACAACTTTCTTCATTGTGTGCTCCGTTGACTGTGGGAAGGAGCTGGAGAAAGAACGCCGAAACCACCAATCGGTCTACTGAAATCGCACAGCATCTTGAGCTTTTAGCTGAAAAAGAAAAAAAAAATCCACATCTTTTTATGACAAACGCAACTCTACTACTAACCTGAAGCCAATTGCATGAAATGTTCTTCCCAATGGCTAACTTAGGCCACCAATAAGGAACAGTTAAGGGTACATTTTATGAAGCATTCTTTTTTTACTTTTATTTTTCCTATCCATAGCACCAAAATCAATCCATGCAAAATAGCCTTGCAAAATAGCCAATTACAAAAATCTGTCTGGCTAGAGAAACCAACTTCACACAAAACATGACTATAAGCCCTGAGAATTTGGGGTGGTGCCACCTGACAGGAGGCCTGGGTGACGTCACGGCACGGACTCTTCGATGCCCGCCGCGGTTAGCCTGCATAATATGCATTCTGTCGTGCGATGTTTACGTTCGCTTTTTTCTCATCTCAAGCTACAGATGAATGATAAAACAAAATCGGTAATGTTCCTCATAAAAAGTTTACTTTTGCTTCTGCGCGATCGCCAAAGGTGCTCGCTCTCGGTCGTAGACGAATATGAAAGGGGTGTGCGTTGTTGACCGCGAGTAATGGGTTCCATTTCTGGCCACAGTGGTTGCATTCCAACAGGTGTGAAAAGAAGGAACAGGTTTCTGCTTCGATACAATAAACTTTTTGCCGCATAATCATGTCGTGATTTCGAGATGCAAGGCACCATATTTACATTATTGGGTTGAGTTGTTTATGAGCGATTCCTTAATTAAGAGACAGGAGGGTTTTCCCTTTACCAGGGTTATTTGTGTCGGACTGATCAATGTATATAAGGAAAGCACTTTCACTGGTGTGCCAAGCCCCGCGCTCGCATGTGGTATCAAATCTCGCAAGCTGTATCTATCGGGCTTGCCCTTTAGACTATACCAGCGCATCTCTTGTGTCTGTTTTCTTCGTGTACTTGCTCACGCACCACATTGTTTAACTTCATGTTCTCTCGCAATAATTTTTGTGCTTTATTTCACCGAAATTCTTGAGGTGAAAGAAATAGCAGTTGGTTACCTGTGGGTAGACATGACGTTTGACACCAGTCGTCGCCTCATTGAAGTGAAGGATATTGAATTTTTATTTCAGACAGGTCGCTGAGCGCACCATCGCGACTTCATCCCGTTTCTTTTGGAATCGCTGCAATCAGCGGTGCCCCACGTGAAGTGAACATCACTGTTCATGATGTGGTGGTATGTTGAACCAGCATTTCATGCGAATCACGGTATATGTTAGCCTGTATAATTCCTGGCGACGGTTGAGAATTATGTACATATCATCCGAGTGAACGGACATGTCAACATTTCCGCAATCGTGTGTGCTATACCATTTTGTTTATTTTCGGAATATGTCACTGATAGATTCATGTAAAGTATCCAGTTGGAGATTGCACAATTCTGTTAAATTTTTGAGATTATTTACAGATGCAGACGTAACTTGCACAGTAAACCACGATCTATTCAGTGAGTTGAAAGCGTATTTCACTTGTGATAATTCAAACTCACAAATGTTTTAACCCCGGAGTCTATGCCTAGATGTAATCATGTTAGCACCACTTAGTATGTTTTCTTAGCACCCATCTTTTGGTTTACGCCATGAAAACAACGAGCGTATTGCTGTCCTGCATCGCGATTTTCCCAGCAACTCTTCCGTTTTTTTCCCAGCAACACTTCCGTTCTGAGGTTTGTCTGTCTATGCTGAACTATATTATGACAACTTTTGACAGCTTCGATAACTTTCACTAGTTTTGAAGCCTTCCACTTTGTGTAACTTGAGAGATTTGCATCACAAAATTGAGTAGTAAACACCATTGTTTTGGTAAAGAGTAGGTATGTGGCGGGCGCAAAAAAAGGTGACAAGCGTTGGCGGAGTAGGACTTTTTGCCATGACTGCAGTGACGCCAGTGTTCGTTTTCGCGGCTAATATTCGGATACAACTTTAGAATTCCGGAGAGGCCCTGCCCACATCACTGAAGCGCACCAGCTGATTACTTCCGTGGCTTGCTCATGCACTTGACATCCGGGGCTCATGATGTCAGTCCGGTGTGCGCACTATCTGGGCAGGGTGCCGCAGAGTTTTAAAGTTATATCCTACTATAGTTTCCATTCTTACATTCCAGTTTTCAATCAGTATTGAATACATGAAAAGATTAAGGCCTCTTAAAGAGCCCGTAAACCACCCAGAGGTCGAACTTCAGTTGTGAGGAGATTGCTAAATAGCGAAGTTAGGCGCATTTGATTATCGAAACCATGACGACCACACCTTTCGCTCTCTCCTGCGCTTTCCCCCGCTGGTATCCTCTCCCACGCCGCTTTGCCCCTTGCCGTCCCCCCCCCCCCCCCCCAATCTCAATTTTTAAAAATGATGCCGTATAGTAACTTCATCTATTTTTAGCTAATACATGGGGCTTTCAAATGAGATATTGTACACATTTTTAGTCAGACAGCCAAGGCAAGTTTTTTGACGCTGAATAAAATGCATTTCCCCCCAAAAATTGAAATTCATAATATTTTATAGGCTATCTGCTATAAATTCAGCACCTAAATTATTTCTAATTTACAGCATGTCAAGAGGGCCACCAGCACATATTCTATTTGTGCAGTTCGAGCTTGCCATCTTCCCGAAAAAAAAATCCCAAATTTGGCAACCCTATTCAATATTGCTCGTGGGAAAAGCCCTCGAAGAATTTATTTACATAAGTAGGTCAATATATTTACAGTTAGATCACATCATTACCCTTGCCACAAATACCATTTTACCGAGGGCATCAAAAAAACTTTAGAAAAAATTTGTCGTTTGACGCCCTCTAGCTCAGTCGGCGCTAAAGTACAGACTCTCATAAATAGGCAGAAAACTTTTTGGCTATGAAAATAAACGAGCAGGGCGAGCTTCAAACTTCGAGAAACGTGAAAATTTTTTCAGTCGTGATGGTCCGAAAAAAGCTGGATAATTTGGCATGGAATGACCCGTCTGCGTTTTACTCCTTCCGATATCATCAACAGTTGCCTTCCGGAATGCGTAAGAAAGCCCGCACATGACCTCAATAGCTAATGAAACTTATACGCATAAAAAGTTCATTCATTCTGCTTTTCGTTGATATGTTACATGAAATACTAGGTGTTGTAGTTCCTTCAGCAAAAAAGATCCAGTGTAACCTACAAAAAACATCCATTTTCCCAGTCGTATAGCATTAAGCCCCATTAACAAACTTCCCTTTAGCTGCACACTATGCGAAGTTTTTAGTTCTTCAACGATGCAAAAATTTTCATGATTGAAACGTGCTGACAATTGAGCACTAAATAGCGTGAAACCTTACTACTTGGTGAGGTCAGTTCGTTTTATTCTCAAGATCTCATTCCACCTGATGCAAAATGCCAGAATTCTCCTAAGAATAACCAAGACTTCAGCAACATGTGATAGACAAAACTTTCAAGACGAGCATATTGAGTACGTATGTACAACTGCTTTAATTACTGAACAGCACAGAAGGCAAGCGTTGCATAAGCAAGCAGGAAGCGGCCTGCATAAAGCAGTGCTGGCTTGCTGGTGCTGTGCCTTGACATAAAAAGGAGGAGAAAAATAAACTGAGAGCTGGACCAACATAATGCAGTGTAAGCGAGTGCCTGCTATCGCACTACAAAACAAGTTGTCCGGCTCTTGAAGAATGGCTGAATGGCTCTTACGCACTTCCAAGTCACTTCCCTTCATGCGCAACAAGCATGGTTCAGCCCGCTCGATGGGATGGGCCCAAGACACAGTGCAGTCTCGTGACTTAGGCACTAGCTTGGCGACAATGGTTCCTGCCAAGATCCTGCTATTACAATTCACTGAGGCAATGGTTGATTGGTAAGAGTGTCCGCCACCAAAGCGCGAAGTCCTAGCTTCGATTTCCACTGCTACCAGCCATCCACCAGTTTTTGTAACTGGAAAAGCAGGTACCTTGACAAAGTGCTCTGTGTTGTCGATACTCATTTCTCGAGAATGTAGCCTCTCCTTTCCTCTATTTCCTATCACTCCCCTTTTCTCATCCTTCAACGACCCGAGCTGGGCTCCCTGATGGGTTGCAGAAAGACGTGGTATTGTTAAAATCAAGACACTACTGCCAGTACTTCTACACTGGTCGCTCTGCTGGCTCAGGCACCTCCACTACTGTTACTTGAGTATCCTGAACAGCCAGTATATTTTGTATTGTAAGCAAAGTCAGGAAATATTACAAATTTGCATCACGTCAAAATTGGTATTCCTGTGATCGTATTACCAACGTTTTACAGTAGTATGCCCATGTGTGAGCACACACAGACATGCACACACATAAAAAAAACAGTAATATTTTTATAACGACCTCCAAATTTACTGACTGAAGCACAACAAGGGTGCAGCTTGTTTAAATTTTTTCAACTTGAATTTGAAATTTCACAACATGTACTCACACAAGTCGAAGTAATAAAGCTCCTCACGTGTGAAATATCAAAATATAATAATTTAGTTGAGTACATCATTTAAAACAATTAAGATTCTCACAATGCATGATGCGGGTTAACAATCCGATGGTCATTCAGTCCACCACACTTGATGGCAGGAATTATCATTGTCATTTTACAGAATAAGTATGAAGATATGCAATTTATATGTTGCCGAATAAATGTGAAAAAGAAAAACAGCATCAACACACTAGTACATTTTTGCATGTGAAGACAGTGAAACGCAGGCTGTAGTATCATAACACTCAATGAGCTCAGCAACTCCCGATGTACTGAAATAATGATACAGAAAACCAAGCTATCTACCTTTAAGCTTCAAATTTTAAACAACCCAAAACTTCAACATGAAGCATTGGGTAGTTATGTTTACCATGGGCAGCTTACATGTGACTTTAATGCACTTTTATGGGTTGGCACAGCAAGTAAAAAATGTAGCATGTTTCCACAATTGCTGCAGCTGTAACATACCTGGATATTTTTCCAGAGTCGATGCAAACACATGTTAACTGTTGAGAATCCGAATCTGTCATTGCACAGCTTTTCTCATACATGTAAAAAAGGATGCCGATTTCAAGGCAAAATTTATTGCCGAGCAGATTTTTTCTCCAGACGATTAGCCATTGTGATTGCCAGAACAAATTTGACACATAAAAAACTTGAACATGATGGACTGTTCAGGCATACCATTGTGCAAGCAAAATCAAATTTAGCCCAAGGATGCTAACAATACCTTAATAGATGGACACTTCAGGAGAGCCCCTCAAAGGTTACAGCTGCTTCAGTGGCCATGAAGAAGGGACCCTCTTGGTAGGTGTTCCTGATGCGTTGCCAGTCCTCAGCAGAGAAGCCTCGAGGTTGCACCTGAGCTAAGATAGCCACGACAGCAAACTTGGCCTCCTTGCATGCCTTGTCAGCCTCAGTAGATCGATCAAGAAGGTATTCAAGAAACCCTGGCTGTGCTGCTAGTGTAGCCTGACCCCAGGGCACTCGTGCCACCTCGGCGATCACCGAGAGGGTTGCACAACGCAGCTCAGGAAAAGGCTGCCGACACAGACGGAGGAGCATGTCTGTGGGTCGATCACCAAGGAGGCTGTACCACCTTTCTGTCAAATTCACCAAATCCTCGTAGCTGCTGTCCTGCAGAGAGAATACACCAAACAGTATTGACAATATGGCATGCTGGAAAAGATTGAGCAGAGTGTCCTTTCGCAACAAGCATTGACAGGCAGACCACAAGAGAAAAAGAGACTGGTATTTCTCATCTCTTTCAGCATTTCCTTATGTTAGGGCACATTTATAATGATGAGTGCCTAACTCCACAACACTCCGCTGAGAATACAGTGCAAAGCAATGAGCAATAGAAATGCCAACACAGCTGCTTGGTCACAGAAAGTCTAAATTTCACATATGGCTTGCATTGTATCTTATTTCACACCTGTCCTTAGGACAGGTTGAACTGACACACCTATTCTATCACAGCATATAATAATAATAATAATAATGATAATATTAGTAATAATTGTTAAAGTGTCACATTCCAACAATATTATTACAAGACGTGCTGAAGCGGTGGGCTGCATAAATTTCGGTCACCTAGGGTTCTTTGACGTGCACCTAAATTCAAGAACACGAGCCTCAAGCATTTTCACCTCCATCATGTCTACAAGAAGGAAAAATAATGTAAGAAAGGCAGCTGTAAGTGAGCTGTAAACAAGGCCACTCCCAACCGTTCATCGACAAGGCATGCCGAGAACGCAACCACCAGCAAAGATGACAACTTGAAAGAACAGTGAGGAGCACACTTCTGCATGACTGAACAGACCGTTGCCAATACAAGCTATCAGCATGCCTTCTTTGCCACTGCTTTTTCTTTGGCTAGCTTCCTGTAAACTTGGCTCACTGTGCCCCCCCCCCCCCCCCTATAGACCTTTTTAAAGCAATCCCAGAACACCCTGTCGGCCCGTGGACCACAATGACAAAAAGTGTGTACATCAAGCAAGCCGGCCATTCGGTCGCCCGCTGGTTGCTGATTGATTGATTGATTGATTGATATGTGGGGTTTAACGTCCCAAAACCACCATATGATTATGAGAGACGCCGTAGTGGAGGGCTCCGGAAATTTCGACCACCTGGGGTTCTTAACGTGCACCCAAATCTGAGTACACGGGCCTACAACATTTCCGCCTCCATCGGAAATGCAGCCGCCGCAGCCGGGATTTGAACCCGCGACCTGCGGGTCAGCAGCCGAGTACCTTAGCCACTAGACCACCGCGGCGGGGCGCCCGCTGGTCGCTGGCGCTTTGAGAGCACCAAACAAAAAGAATGAGGTGCAATTTGTTGACTATTATTAAATTGTATATACATAGTACTACACATGTCTGACCGCACCTGCATGCATCTCAACCACGGAGTAAGATAAGAGAGGAGTGCAGACTCAGCTTGTCTGGATTACACTTGGGTGCAGGTTAAAGAACCAGTCTCTCATAATCATATGGTATTTTTTAGGCGTTAAACCCCACATATCAATCAACCGCTTGTCTGAAAAAGATGGTGGTTTTGGGACGTTAAATCCCACATATCAATCAACCGCTCGTCTGGAAGGGATGGTGGTTTTGAGACGGTAAACCCCACACATCAATCAATCGCTCGCCTGGAAGGAACACATCTTGCAATGCCGCTTGATGCTTTGTCTGCCAGGTGACGCTACGAATAAAGGAGAGCGGCGGATGAGAGGACCTGCCCTCGAGCAGAGCCGCGGGCGGTGGCTCCGTTTGTCGTTGTCAGCGCCACGGATGCATGCTTTGCCGCAATCATGCGTCTGCTCGCCTATCCATTTTGCCGTCTGCTTCACACATGCCTTACGTCTGCTACCAATTCTTTCCTGTAAAGAGCGTGACTATTGCAGTTTGCGGATCAATGTTATGAGAGGAAATAACCCAAATGTATCGTTTTACTTCATTTATTCGAAACACGCCAAATGCCTGACATCTTTAACATGGACCACACAGAATTATACAGTGCCACTATAACGTACATATACATAATATATAAACTCAATTCATGAGGTAACATTGCAAAAAGTGAGCTTCGATCTGGGCACAGAGAGTCTCTGTTGTCGCTTATAGCAGTAGAGCTGCTTGCACAGCTTTCTGCCGCACTTTGTTCGCAGAAAGTCGCACTCAAGCTGTTGTCTTTTCTTAGATCCTTGCCAGGCGACCAACTAAAAGAGTCCTTTCATAGGCAAGGCTGAGAATTTTCATTATCTGGGCAAAGAAAGGCGCTCACTTTGTATACGGTTGTAGACAAATTGATGTCCTTTCGCTCTTCGTCACCGGTGTCTGTTGGTTCCTCCTGATACTCAGCATCTGAGTTGGGCCCCACTTACTCCAAAGATAAAATGAATTGCTCCCTTTCGAAGTCAAGGCACTTTCTTTACGTCTAGTAGAACGTTTCATTTGTGTTCGCTGAAGTACCTATCAAACATGAGGTGCTTCTCGAAATGTCGAGCACATATTTTGTCTTTCGATTCCAGAGTTGTATACTCATGGGTATTTTTTGACACCACTGATCCAGTAGCAGCAGATCAGATGGCGCTGCGAAGAGCGGAATCTTCTCCCACCCTTTGCCATAATAGACTTGCAGCCGGGAACAAAACACTTCATTGCCCTCTGTCCAGTTACCCCGCATCTTCACACACAAACACAAAGATATCTTGTCCCTTGGAGCATGAATAAGCACATCCAAGATATTTTAAACAAAGGGTGTAACACGAAAATGTCCGGCCAGCACTGCCGTTCAGGCATCCAGACGTGGAAAACAAGCCTATGTCTCGTCTGCCGTTCTTTTTCAGCAGAATTTTTCGTCTTCTTTGTCTAAAGATCTTGTGGGATCTCGATATGGAGAGAGCCACACCACGCTCTTGGAGTGAACGGGCACAGTAGACGCGTGCGGAACAAACCGAACAACAACACACATTTATTTAACTGCTTTTAGAATGACGATATCATCAGCTAAATCACTATAACATCAATTGTGATCCACATGCTAAACAACCTTACATAATATTACACAACACTCAACAACATGACAAACAAGGCGGTGTCACTAACGCTTGACTCATCACAATGGCCCCCAGCAGACGGCCCGCGGTGCCGTGCATTGGGGTCCCACTGCAAGAGACAACAGTTTGCGCCAAACGGCACCAGTCTAACCATAATGATGATAGCAGTGATCAATGCTCGCAAACACAACACCATCTACCGCCCAATAATCGTGACCCCGAAATACTCTTTCTGTGCGAGACATGTGCGCCAGGCGGTGCAAACAACTTTACAAGGTACGTCAGGATTCATACAATTTGTAACAGTGTTTCGCATATGTGCAAAAAAAAAGCGGTGCAATGTTTTTATGTCATATATCATTATTAGTATGCATATATGGTTCGTTTGGTTGTCATACTGAGATATCCGAGCAAACGGTATTCAAGCAGACGACACACTCGCCGCTCCCTGCCACCGCCGCCGCTGGTTTCCGCCAGTTCACGCATGCGCTCATTAGCGCAGCTGTACAGGTGGCGCTACGCGCTGTGATAGGTGCCGAGAGAGAAGGAAGCATGTGCGAAAGCAGGAAGAGGAGCAGAGGAAGAAAGCAAAGGAATGAGTTAGACCACCACGTGCGCGTTGCACAATGTGTCCTGTGCCAAAGCGTGGGGCGATGGCGGAGTTGGCGCTCCTCTCTTATCTTACTCCGTGATCTTAAAACATGAAATGTGAAAGGAATAAGGCAGTCACTGAAGACATTTCTGAGCTTATCTATATCCAACATAGCATTTAAGCGGCACAAGAGTTATCGCGTGCGGATACAAACAGTAAAACGTACTATCGTGAACAATGTGAGATGGAACACCGTATTCATAATTATTCAACAAGTACTCGCCTCTGATCGGGCTGTAAAACCACACTGCAGAGGTGTTACAGTATTCAGCTACGTATACATGAATATTTGATTTTAATTGACCAGTCGCACTGTACAAAGAATTGAACCATTGTAAACATGTTCAAAGAAGAAGTAATGGGACTAAGATTCACTTGCAAGGTGCCTTGGTGTGATAATTTGCAGTTTCTTGATAAATTCTTACTGCGGAGCATGTTTGTTGGCAGTAAAGTGTCCGTACAGCAAAGACGGCTTTCAATTTCGCATCAGCGCATTTGGGTATTATTAAAGAACTGTACTGTCATGCTTATGCATGGCATTAAAAAAATTAACTTGTGCACATCACCTCAGCAGTAGGTTCTAGCTGAAAATCGATTGCCCCAAGAACGTCGAATTTTTCGCGCATCATTGCATCAATTTCCGAAAAGCTCATTTTCATTGCGAAGAAAGATTAATACGAACATCCTCCATCCATGAATAATGAAACTAGAAATACTGCACTTATTCAATATATGCATAAGAAATCATGCGGCCTGAAAAATGTAGCGAAGGTGGTGTTTTCCGTACAAAATAAGCTTCGTCGCATTTGTCTCATAGTCCACAATAGTTTGGAGGAGTCGGAGGCGTTCCAGCTGTTTTGTCAATGATGTAAGAGTAGTTAACTGAATTCCTCTTTCTTGGGTTCACATGCACATTGGCCAGACCGGTCGATGTATTAAATTAATATTCACGCATCAGATAGAATCCAAACTCCCTGAATAGAGCAGTCTCATGTTACCTCACATAGCCAGTCATGCAAGTGTAATCCCACCTTCAAAAGCACAGCAATTTTGTACCATCACCCCAATCAGACAATCCGACGAACCTCGGGGAGCATATCATATCATAAAAGAGGGACATGGCACTTAAAAAAACCTTTATTTATTAATTTTCATTAAACTTGGTAACTTCAGAGTATATTTATGTGCTGATTTCATATGTGCTATTATTTTTCTTGCATAATATAGTTTTTAAAACACAAGATATTTCATGTACCTTTTGAGGAACAACTATTTTTTCAGAGAGAGTTAGAGATCTAATCAGCATATATCACAATCAGTCTTGGGCAGCAACTTGCTATGTGTTACCAGTAACTAGTTACTCTTTTCAGTATCTTCTAACTAGTTACTTAAAGGTTAAAGGAACTTGTGTACGTGTGTACATAG